TTGAAACGGAGATATATGAGTTGTTGTTTATGAGTCAATTATGCATTGATAATACGTAAACACATCAGTAACTTGATGTTATAAAACGTATTGTTGTGTGTGATTTGATGAGTAAATAGTGCAAGCATATAAGTCGAAGTTTATCTGTTCCTTTTTCCTTAATGGGAAAAGCGATATATGTGGGCCCCTTGATGATTTGATGATGACATCTAACGTGCTTTTCCAAGCCTGGACTGAATTGATGTGTTCAATTAGTAGTCTGATTTCAGTCATCATAAATCAGAAATCGAAAAACAAATCTTGGATAGAGATAATGATTATAATCCATGTCTCATGTCCATACGATATCTTGTAGAACGGAGGAATATTTGATCACTTATCTCAGGACATGTCATTGACTGGGTCAAAGTTCGACAATGGCTTTTGGTAGCTACAATTTGCTAGCCAATTCAGTAGTTATACTGGCAGTTATAGTTATCAGACTTATCCAAGTAGGAGACTGTTGGATTAGGTGTCTAAGCCCATAACTATAATTTGTATAAACTTGAATTGATGGTAGCACAGTCCTTTTGGGTTGCCTTCAAACCTAGCATTTGAATATGATAACTTTTAGAGAGAGAATGATGAATTTATTATTTGGTTAATAAATTGAAATAAATGATTGGTTAATGTATTATGAAAATAATATATTAATTAGAAGTCATATTATTTAACTAATATTTAATCAGAAATTAATTTGGAATTAATATTGGGGTTAAAGGAATTAATTAAAAGTGCAGGGACTAAAGGTGACAATGTTCAATAATTGAGCATTGGGCGATTTTAGAACCTCCCTAAGGAGGTGGGAACAAAATCTAGAGTGTCTCTAGGGTTTCCTTGGGCTCTAAGGGTGCCTTGGATGCCTTATGGAGGAAGTTAAGGGATTAGGGTTATCTTGAAGATACCTGCCTTATCCAATACCTTCCTAACACCTATATAAACCCTCCTTAGGGTTCAATTTCATCTAATCCTTCTTTTTAAGTGCCTTGGACGAAATATTGTCTCATTCCCTGTCTCTCTATAATGTTCCTTGCTTGCTAGGGTTTGTTTGTGAGCCATTAGAGGCGCGACACTTGTGGCGCTTGCTACCAAAGGTTTTCAAGCTTGGATTAAGATTGTTATTAGTACATAACAATCAAAGGTATGTTTACTAACTCTAGAAGTTAATTTCGAAAATAATATAGGCTTCCTAGGGTTTCCCAATTGATGTTCAAATACTTGTATGTTCAATTAGAGAAAACATATATTAGGACAATTAGGGTTGCATGCACACATAGGATTGTTTGTTATGCTCAAAACCCATCAGATCAGTCAGCTCTGGAAAGGGAATTCTTATTCGTTGTTTTTAATAAGGTTGGCTAGGTTTAGTTAGATCCAAGTGGGGGAGAACTGTTTGGATTTTCGGGGATATAATCAGGTGCGGAACCAGGAGGAGTTCCACATCCTAGTCGAGTGGGAAGACAAACCAAGTGGAAGTTTGGAATGATTGGATCCAAGTTGAGGGTTGTGTTAGAGCCTCTCTTCCTGTTCTTGTCTGATGAAGGCTTTGGGGTTCGAAGCATGACACGAACACCTGATTGGGTTATGGCCGGATGCAGGTTCAACTCATGATGATTATGGTTGGCTTGGTAGTTAGAAAATAAGACCATGGGTTGGGTCCATGGTAGTTATGGAAGTGTTGTAAGACTACGGGGCAGCCCTAGCATTCACAAAGTTGAAGGGAAGTTATGGGATTGTTCTAAGGCTACGGGGTAGCCATAGAAAACACATGGATGATAGGGTTTTAGGGAAGTGTTGTAAGTCTGCGAAGGGATCGTAGCATTCACCAGAGTAAGGTAGGCCATTGTGGGAGTAGTCGTTGGATTGAGGAAAGATCAGTGCATGCCTAGGTCAAGGTAGACAGTATTTTCGAAGGATTAATCTTTGTGTGGTATGAGGATCATTGTAGAGAGAGGACTTATTAATTGTGTTTTGAAATCGTTCTGTCGGTGTGGAGGTCAGGTAAAGTTTTGGGGTTTCATACTTAAAGCAGTGAAGTGCTGGTTTTCCTTATTATAAAAGTTTGTGGACCGATAATTCGATCCCCATCAGGGCATATGGGTCTTGCTATGATTAAGGTTTCGATGGTAGCATTGGAAGGTCGTCGTGTGCACGCATCAATCTTTTCGTCAAATTGGGGTGGATCGTTTGGTTTCCAGGAAGGTGGTAAGGAGTGATTTTGAGGGCGAAATCTAATTTAAGCGGGTGAGAGTTGTAACACCCTGTTTCGATTTGTTTCTTAATTCGGGGCCGTGACCTAAAGATCAAGTATCATAAGGCTTCAGTCTTTGGGAAATAGATATTTAGACCAAATTGGATGTGGGTAATGTAAATTATGTGATCCAAGAGTTCGGTTTGTGCTTCGAATCTTGAGGGTATAATGGTAAAACTGATGGAACGGGCTTTTCATGGATTAAGGATTTTAGTTCGAAGTGTTTTAAGTCAGAAGTACTTAGATAGGGTTGTAAAGCTCCTCATTACCTTTTCGTGGATATAAAGATCATTGAAAACAGAGTTGGGACGCAAAAGTTATGGCCAACAGAAGATTGATCGATAAGGAGCATGCCATGTACGATGGGCATACATGGCTGGAGTGATCGCGAAGGCTCCTTCACGAACGTTGGGCATACCAGATGTACGCAGGGCGATCGCGACTCAGTCCTAAACCCTAATTTAGGGTCTTGGACCCCATTTAAAGTCCTTAACTCATTCTCAAACCCTCTTATCTTCAGCCTCCATCCCATTTAAGCCCAAGTTCGAAATTGTAGCCTCTTTTGTGCAAATTTCAAAACCTGGAGTGTTCTCTTGGTGGACTTTGGATAAGAAGAGATATTGTTAGAAGCATTGCTCGGCTTGGAGCTTGTGGATCCAAGCTCTAAACATCTTCATCAACTTCCAGGAGGTATAAAGTTTCTAACTTGATGACTCTATGTGTCAAATCTAGCTTAGGGATTGTTTTGGGTTTATTATGTTCCCTTGAGTCATCCTTGTGAGTATGACCTACTCCAAGAGCTTAAAATGTTAGATCTTAGCATTTCTAAGGTTGGTGGTGCATAAAAATGTCATCTTGATGGGTTTTGATGAATCATGCTTAAGTTGGTGTTCATATTATGGGTTTAGATGGATAAAAATGGGTTTTGGGTCCCGTTAAGACATGCAAAGAGTAAATTTGGCAACTTTATGGTTTAAGACCTTATTTAGAGGTTAGATATGAGTTTGGATGTTTTAGTCTTAAGAATTAAGTGCTTAATGAAAGTTTTGGTCGCCTGGTGGGAATGTTGGGCATACGTATGTGTATGCTTAGCGTAATACATGAAATCCTCGTCCTTGAGCTTTAGTGAGTTCTACCTTGTGCTTCTGTGGGTCGTATGCGGGGCGTATGAGTTGGGAACACAAGGCGTACGTCAGAGATATTCTTTTGGGCCTTTTTGGGCCTTGGTTTTTCTTGGAGTTAGGGCCATGGGTTATTGGATTATATATGGGAAGCGTAAATTGGTCTTTTACCCATTGGAAGGGTAGGATATGGTTTGGACCTTGGATTTTACGAAATAACCTTAATTATTGATTAAGGATGTTTTGGTTGTGTTTTGTGTGAGGATTCTGATAGTAGCAAAGTGTGTGTCCGGTTATATCGGATTGAGCTGAGTCTCCTCCTAGTGTTTGGCGGGTCGAAGGCACCAATGCCGGCCCATGGATTATTGTTATTTGTATGCTAGCTGTATGTGTGACTCTTGCATGTGTTGTATATGTTTGTATGTATATTGGGCGGGGCCTGATGAGTGTGTTGGGCGGGGCCCATCACATGTTACTGACAGATCTGTACCGGGCGGGGTCCCGATGAATATCGGGCGAGGTGTGATGCCGGGTGGGGGCCTGATGAATGCCGAGCAGGGCCCGATGAATACCGGGCGAGCCCCGATGTCGGGCGCGAGCCTGATGAATGTCAGGCAGAGAGTGATGTATGTTTGATATGTATGGTATGTGGTATTTTGGGGAACTCACTAAACTTTGTGTGGTTATGGTTTTTATGGTTAAGGTTTCGGGTACTTACGGTTCGAAAGGGAAGGGTCCGACTTGATCGTAGCACGTCCACCCATGTTTCCGCAACTTTATGACTTTAGGATTCTACTCTGATAATTACTTTTACTAGGATATACTTTTGAATGATTGAAAAGGATAAATGGTGTTTATGGTTGAATTTAAAAATGAAAATTTTACCTTATAATTTTTGGGTCATTACGCAAACATATTTCTACCAAGGTTTTTAAAACAAACTTATTTCTACCAACCAATCAAAATTGACTCGATTTAGCCATTGAAGATGTGTTCATGCTAAATTGGACCCTAAAGTCTTAAGTTTTGACTCGATTTTCTTGCCTATGTGGCATCTTAATTAGATTTTGAACTTCTAATCATGCTAAATTAGACACTGATTTTTGAAAAAATAAAGTTAATTTCAAAGTTCGAGGTTTAATTTAGCATGATTAGAAGTTTATGGTCTAATTTAGGATGTTACGTAAGCAGGGGAACCGAGTAGCCGACTATAGGAGGTCGTAGGGGGTAAAACGAGTTAAAAATCAGACTTTATGGTCCAATTTAACATGACGAGATCATTAGTGGCTAAATCGATTCAATTTTGATATTTACTTGGTCAATTAAGTCAACTCAAAAAAAAAAAAAACACTATTTTGGTGTTTAGGGTAGATATACATATCAGGATTAGTGATGTTTAGGACTTTTGCATTTTCTTCGAGATGGATATCTTCCTTTGGTCCTTTTAATCATCCATAAATTGTCAATGATATTCTCAACTAAATTTGAACATATGGACCTAGTGCAATGCTGAAAAGTGGAAACTAATATACTTAAGGATAAAAATCAAATTTATTTGCAAAAAGTTGTGATTCAATCTAAAATACTGTCTATATTGGCCCTCTAGTCGGCTGAAACAATAATGCCATCCTGACTTCCTCGATGATTTGTTGTGATTTCTGGAATATGCTAATGCTTTTTTGAAGCCTCACCCTCTCTTTTCCGGAGGATGATAGTTCCTCCGACATCTTTTCTATACCACCATGTACCATCGCCTCCTTCACCATCTCCATTTCCATCTCCTTGTTCACCAATTTTTTCACCAAAAACTGAAGCTCAAGTGCCATCCAATCAACCATTCTTTTCAGAACAATTTCCCAGTAACACGTCATCCTCATTTTTTAAATCAAATGCTTGATCCCTTGTATTTCCGGGGACACTAAACAGATGCTTAACATTGATCGTATCATGACCTTCCATGTTTATCTCCTCCACATGATTGCACATTGCCTTCAAAAACTCATCACGATTTCCCATGAGCTTGTAATTGCAAGAAGCAACAAAATTAGGGTCACAGGTATAATCTGTGGTTTTTTCCATCTCTATCATTTCTACAACTCTTCCTAAAAACTCAATCTTCATTTTCTCCATTACATTCTGAAGAGCTTTCCTCATGGATGAAAGCAGTTGTGGATAATCTCCATGATGATCAATCAAGACTCTAACACAAACAATTTCAAGATAATCCCACACTTTTTTTACAAAGTTAATGGGAAAGGGAGAGATATTGGTGAGTTTTGTCTCGAGCAAAACATAAGACAGCAGAGTGAGGAACGAAAAGTGACGACCAGATCCCATTAGCTTCGTTGAGAACATCCAACTCCTCAACTAGGAAATTTTCAGAGAATTTGACAACCGAGTTGAGTTTTTTTGAAAATTCATCTAGCATTTGAACCAACCGCGGATTGCAATGCATTTGTTTTTCGTCAATGTACTCATGATCGTACTCACCTTTTATCAAGATATTTTGAAGAGTTACCTTGAACGACCCAACCATATGCATAAAAGCAGTCAATGCATCAGGAATACTCATAGAGTTTTTGGGTAATTGGTTCAGCTCCAAATCCAGAGCATAAATCCCCTCATTGATCTTCTTGACGATGTCTGGAAGACATCTCAATATGATTACTAAATGAATTTTTGCAAGCCTAGTGGCCAAAGCAGGAATACCCACCATGGACTTTTCAATCTTTGACAACAAATGAGATGATTCGAAGAGTGTGGTTTCTTGAATTCGAGCTTCCTCATGGGTTTCATCGTTGATTCTGTTTCTGATAAAGTGATAGCGGTTGCGAATCTTGAATTTATTTTCTGAAATGGCTTTACTAAGATCAATGTTATGGTACTCGTCGCATTTGGTAATGACTGCAAGCGTCCTCTCTTCTCTGGTGTCCACTACTCTATGTGACGTGCGAATAGATGGGAGTCTACTGCGCGCAGAAGAAACATTTAAAATGATACTCTCCTTTGGGTTTATATACCCCTTGGTGATATCTGAAACAATTAAAACAAAATCTCCCCAAACTTACACTTAGATTTTAAGCTTATTTTTTGGCTTTTGTAAGTCACACAATGTAAATTTTCTTTACGTTGCATTGTCATTTTTTTAACAAAAGCATTTACGACTCTATTACTTATGAAAATACAAGCAGATGTCAGCGTTACATATTTTTTATTTTTTTGAAGTAGCATGTGCAAATTATGCATTGCAATTAGCCATATACCTTTTAAAAACCGCCCAAGACGATTCATACATGATAGTAATATAAGACCTTTTAAGTTTTGAATTGTTGGAGATGAAACATATATATATTTTCAGGTAAATAAATAGAAATGCCAATTGAAATTTGTATGAAATTATTTAGAAGCACACTGAGGAAAAAAGGTACCTGAGATATGTTCGAAATTGTCTCTCGACTTATCTTCGGACGTGGAATACCAATATTTTCCGGGCAAATAAGTTATGGTGAGATTCGGAATACCTTTCTTCTTCACTAACAAAGTTAGAGGTACATTCGGTATAGTTTTACCTATGCCGGCGATCTCTAATGTAGCCTGATTAATTGCTTCGGATATTAGCTTTTCCTTCATGATCCGAACAGACTTTTTCTGATACTTTAGTACGAACTCCGGTGCAGGATTCTGATGGTTTTGAAGCCTCATTATAAGAGGAACCTTTGAACAGGCCTCCCGTGCAAATGGAGGAAAAATTCCGACGAGTGACTCTATAACGCTTGCTTTGCCCGAGTAATTTTCTCCTGCAACAATGATGGTGGGGTCAGGGATGCCTTGTTCGATGACTTTAAGGCTGCGGAGCTTGTCGATGGTGTCAATTATGGGACGTATCTTGTCATTGTATGATGAAAAAAGAGGGGGTGAAATTGATGTGGTGCCCTGGTTGTTATCAGCCATCGGCCATGACAGATGCATGGAAACGAGTGAGAAGATGATCGGGACGGACGTTGTTAAAAATATTTTTCCTAAACAAGAAAAAAAAAAAAAACGAAATTTAAGGGCGTGATTGAACTTACCTTTTCAAAGCGAGTGTCAAGGAGAAAATATGATAATATGTTTATGTTTATATTTGAAAAATTAGGTTTAAACACCTAGAAATCACAATTTTAAAAAATATCATTATTTATAATTCAAATCTTAATTAATAAAACTTTTTTTTAATTATTTTTTAACTATTAAATATATAATTTTTACGAGCAAGATTATAATTTATTTTAAAATAAATATATGAACCATTATGAATATATATAATTTTTATGATTTGTGACTTTAAATATTTTATAAAATCATGAGTTTGTACCATTAAGGAAACATTTGAGTAAAATGAAAAAAAAAAACACAATAAATTATGAAAATGAAAATGAAAATAAATGAATAATAATGGGATCAAGACTTTCGCTTTGATGACTCATTTAATTATATAGGTCAAAATTTGTAATATTTGAACACAATTTAGATTTATATTTTTTTTTAAATGTCGACTTTATTCGTGTTTTTTTTTTCGTAATAAAATCACAACCATTAATCAACATAATCAAATTAATTTATATATATAAAAAATATAAACCTTGATATTTAGTATGATATTAATGAATTATTCTTAATAAAATCACATCCTTTAATCAACATTATCAAATTAATTTATAAACAAATAACATATATAAACCTTGATATATATATAAATATATATATATATATATATATATATATATATATATATATATATATATATATATATATATATATATATAAGTTCAATTGAGAAAATAAAAAAGGTTGAGAATGGGGGAATCATTCTCAGCCACTCATTTAATCTAAACATAAAAGACACGGTGACAAACTTGTAAATATGATAATAACCTTCAATCTCAAATACGTAACATCGATTTCTTTGTTGAATACTCCGAATTTGAATTTCCCAGATTCGCAAACGAACTCAGTTGGAATCAGAATTTCATTGTTGTTCATGAAATTGGAATTGAAGTTCTGGACTCGCAGTCACAGTCGACATTGAAGGACTCGGAATCGGTACTTACAGGTTCCTAATCGGATTTTCAGAAATCAAAATCAAAATGTGAAATCGATCAGACATAGGATGTCGCATCTGAAGTCGGAAGCTTCTGAAATTGGAACATATAATCTAATCAGAACAGTTCGCGTCTTGATTATTAGTATTACAAAGAAATCTGGAATCGGGATTTCAAGGTTTCAAAATTGAAATCGGATTTTTTTTTTTGGAATGAAATGAAAATCGGAATTGCACGCTTCAAAGTCGAAATCGGAAGTATATGATGATTTGGAATTGATAACTTGAATTGGAAGTATCATGTTTTTAACATTTTTAAAAAAGTTAACTTGTATGCACTCCAACTGTTTGATGAAATGCATAAACTAGATTACCACGTTATATTCACATATGCATATGTTTTCCGACCTGAATCAGTATATGATTATTAAAAAAAAAAACAAATATGCAAGTCTGTATGTTATTCATATGTGAATAACGTATAAAAATTATATATATTTGTGAAAACACATTGTAATATTCATATGTGAATATACTGTGTAATATTCATAAGTGAATATATCATATTATATTCACAAGTGAATATACTATGTAAAATTCAAATGTGATATATCATGTAATACTATGTAATATTCACATATGAAAATATCATATAATATTCATAAGTGAATATACCATCTAATATTCACAAGTGAATATACTATGTAATATTCACAATTGAATGCATCGTCTAATATTTAAATATGAATATATTATGTTTATTATATGTTATATTCATATATGAATGATATTTAAATTATAAAAAATTAATCATACTTTTTATTCATATGTGATAATGTATTTTTTTCGAAAAAAAAACATTGTTTTGAGGTCCTAACCAAGTTTGTAATTCATATGTGAATAACATATAAGAATTATATCCGCATGTGAACATATGTAATATTCACAAATGAATATATATGTAATAATCAAATGTGAATATATATGTATTATTCACAAATGAATAAAACTGTCAATAAAACCGAGGACTACAAAACATATAAAATTAAAGATAAAAAAAGTATTTGATAAGAATATATATTTATTCACATACAACTAATCTTTTTAGGTTAATAAAATAATTATATAAGCATATATATTTTTATTAATGTTATATTCATTTGTGAATAAATGATAACTTTTTTTTTCGGAAAATTATAAAAATAGAAAAACGTCATTTTGAGGCCCTAAACACTCCCGAATGGCCGAAAAACACCGTACGTCACGGCGAAGCGGTGAGTTTTGTAAATCGCACCATTTTACATCAAATATGCGAATTTCGTCCAATTCCGAGACTAAACTTCATTGCGGCAAATTGTTTTGATGATGTCACTAAATTTTCATTCCTACTAGTGATGACATCATCATGACATGCTATTTATTCATATATGGATAAAGTTTAGAAATCATTACGACATATTTACTGATGTTACTAACTTCAATCACACTAGTAAAAACATCATTGTAATCTGTTATTTTTATTTATGTGAATAAACTATACATGTTGATTTATTTATTTTGTGAATACAACCTTTATATATAAAAATAAATAATACACTATAAGAATTGGTTTGTGAATAGTTTTTTTGTATATTGTAACAATATTATTTTACATGTATTGGTTAATGAATATCATTTGCATTTGAATTTAACACGATCAAAATGAAGAATATATTAAATTGTATAACATTTACACGTTAATATAAAATCATATTGTCTTCGTCAATGATATCTTCTCAATTACGTCAACCAATCGTCAACCACCAGGATATGAACCAACCATTGATTGAAATGTTATTCTTTTATTGAGTTATAACGATGCCTGAAAAACATGTGAATACACATAAAAAATGTTAAAAATATACTTTTAGTTCATAATAATAGCGATTTATCACATTCTAATTATCATATGGTATATTCACACATGAATGTATAATCATATGTGAATATTATATGATATATGTTGTTTATATTGTATATTTACATGTGATATTACATGGTATATTCACAAATAAATATTACATAGTATATTCACATGTGAATATTATATGGTAGATTCAAATGTGAATAGTATATGGTATATTTACTTGTGAATATTACACATTCTAGTCACATCTAAATATTGCATGGTATATTCATTCATGAATATTACACAGTATATTCACATATGAATAATATATAGTATATACACTTGTGAATATGATACAATATATTCATATTTAAATATTAAATGATGCATTCACTTGTGAATATTACATAGTATTTTCACTTGTAAGTATTAGATGATATATTCACTTATGAATATTAGATGGTATATTCATATGTGAATATTACACAGTTTATTCACATATGAAAATTATACAAGATATTAACATATGAATATTACAAGGTATATTCACAAATATATATAATTTTTATATGTTATTCACATATGAATAACATATAAAATTGTATATTTTTTTTGTGTTTTAATAATCATATACTGATTAAGGTGCGAAAACATATTCATATGTGAATATAACGTGGTAATTTAGTTTATGCATTTCATCAAACAGTTGGAGTGCATACAAGTAAGTTTTTTTTAAAAAGCTAAAAACATGATACTTTGACTATTTAAAACTTACAAAATAGTAGATTGATAGAGAATTATATGAAATTTTTCAAAAAAAAAATGATTTGACGTTTTTCTAACCTTAATTTAGAAGTTTTGTTTGATGATCGATGTTGAATGAATGATATGAAGTGAAATTGTTGTTGATTATCGATGATGTTGATCTAATGACACTGGGAGTATAATTAATTGTAGATGTTGAAGATATGCTCGAATTCAAGCATAATTGAAGGTTGGATTGAAAGAACCAAAAACGATTTTTTTTGTCTACTGTTGAATGATGTTGATGAACGTGTTTTTGACGAAGATGGATGATTGATTAACACTGGATGATGTTGATCGAGGATTTAATTGAAGAAATCTGGATGATCGTTGAAGGTTGGAGAAGAAATTTGGATGATGAACGATCGAGTAGTAATGAATTTGAATTGTTATCAAATTATCCACAATTATGTATCTGTGATTGAAAGATATCATATCATATTTACAATTTTGCCACCGTGTATTTTATGTTAAGATGCTAATTAAATGATTAGCTGAGAATGATTCCCCCATTCTCAACCTTTTTTTTCTCAATTGAACCCTCTCTCTCTCTCTCTCTCTCTATATATATATATATATATATATATATATATATATAATATATATATATATATATATATATATATATATTGTAACGTCCTGAATTTCAACCACAAATTTTTCATTTGATTCAAAACATTAATTAGAGTATAGAAATAAGAGTTATTAAGTGCGAAAATCTCCAATGGATGTGATGAAATCAAGCCGCGCTCTTCCTTTAATATAAGAAAACCTGCAATATTTAAATATAAAATCATAAACACAAAGTTTAGCGAGTTCCCTAATATACCACATACCATACATAACATACATAACAAGTGAATGTTGGGGTCCTCCCACAATTGTAACATCCCGAAAATATTAAGTAAATTTTTTTGTTTAAACTCAACCAAACCATCAACCATATATTTCAAAAACCGTCAAGTGTGTCATAGTAGAAAAATAGTTATCAGAGTACAATCTGAAAATCATAAATTGCCAAACACAGGTGGATACGATACAATTATGTTGGACCCTTCCCTTTTGAACCGAAAGTACCTGAAAGACAATTAAACATAAACTATAAGCACAAAACTTAGTGAGTTTCCCAAAATACCACATACCATACATAGACATCATACATACATAGCAGGCATACATATCAGCCTAAGCTGCAAC